ATGTCAAAATAAAAAATAAATTGAAAAAAACGATCTTTTAAAAGAAAATCACAAAATGAATATACTTTAAAAGAAAAGTTACAAATTAAAAATTAAATAATGAAGTATAAGTGATTTATATATGGGAATTTTGAATGACAAACAGGAGGTGTGAAGACCCGCACCTAACTTATGGGGTATTGTTCGTTTTGACTTGAAGGTCTCATAGTTTTATCTCACAAAAGATGCATCACAAGTTTGTGATTAAGTCTCAACTTATATATCATATCATATCTACACATTCTTCCAATGTAAGATTGAGGCACTACAATCTCTCCATATTTAATGTTTGATGTTTCTGTTTTACCGAGTCCAACCACAAAATCAAGATTACATTAGACATTAAGATTTTAAAGGTAGTTATTCACCGTATAGCACTTAATGACCCTCACGATGAAGCATTTAGTTCCTGTCAACTGGTGACTACTCTGATACCATTTCTGGAGACTCATATCAAACTTGTGAGGTATTATTTACTTTGATCTGAAAGTCTCACGGTTTGTATAACAAACGATACCTCACAAGTTTCAAATTAAGTCTTAATTTATATATCATATTATATCCGCACATTCTTTCAATAAGAGATTAGTGCATTACAAGAGGCATAGATGACTTTAGAATTGTTAACTATCTTTAGAATTTAAAAGTAGTACAATAAGTGATATTTGTAATTTTGAATTTAAAAAATCAAATAATAAAAGATAATATGAGGAAATTTATGAAGATAAAATTTATATTTGAGATTTTTAAATTTTAAAAAAAGTTATTTGCAAATTAATTTGTGATTATAATGTGTACTAGATAAGATATCTATTTTAGATATTTTTAAATTTTAAGAATAAATATTAACTATTTAATTGAATTAAAAAATATATCCTACATGTCATAAAAATAAATTATCCATTTAAACATTCACATCAACATATTTATCTAGTAACATACCTTGTAATATATAAATAAATATATATACTTGTTTTAAGCACATATTATATATGAGTCAGCAATCGATTATAATTTTTGTTATATATAACATTATTGGCATTAAAAGAATTATTTGAATAAAATATTGAAAGGTCTGTATTAACATAATAAATACATAGGTATATTTAACATACCCACATTTTTTTACAATGTTGAAAAGTTCAATTTTGATTTCTATAAAATATTTAAGAGTATTATTTAATTTCAAAAAATTAGGATAAAGAAAATTTCTAATTTTTTTTTCAATTCAAAAAATTAATTATCAAATATTACATATTTAAAAATTTAAAGTTTTTTGTAATATAATACCATTTCAAAATTTAATATAATTTCAATTTTAGAGGACAATTTAAATTTTATTTTCATGATTACAAATATATTGATAATGGTTAATAAAAAAACATAAGTCACCTAAAATAACTTTTTATCATCATTTTGTTTACAATTTAAGAGATAACCTTGATTTAATTATTAAAAATAAAGTTATAAAAGTAAAAATCTAAAAATGTATTATATACATATTTTTTCTCAATAAAAAAGATAATTTCATTTATAAAACAAAAAGATTATAGAACTTAGGAATCTCATCGGAGAATGCTCCAATACATAAATAGAAAAACAATTGTAATAACACATAATAATATGCACAATCTAATTTCTCAAAAAAAAAAAAAAATGCACAGAATCTAACTCCCTTTAAGTCTACTACCAAGAGGCATAAAATAATTATATTTTTTTTCACTCTCATCTTTGGTAAAGAATTAGCAATGTAGTTTGCTTCCCTAAAGGAATGGTCAAAACCAACAATTCTATTTTTGCTTATAACGATTAAAAACTCTCTACTTCTTTCAATGTTATAAATTTGTGTTGAATATTTAAGATATGATTACCACTTTAAATCAAATACCATATATATTCACCTAATTTTAAGGGAATATAGAAATAATTAATTAGATAAAGTTACATGTTTTAAAAAATCAATATAAAAATAAATTTTGATATTAATTGTATAACTTTTTTTGTAATATTAATATATTAAATTTAGAACTTAAATGTGCATATGTTTTCTTTCAATTGATGAAAGAGTTGTATTAATATATATATATATATATATATATATCTTATATTCAAATGAGTTAAATTTACATTAAAACTAAACCATTGGCATTTTTATTTTAATATTTTGTGTGTTTTTGTTATGAATTAGTGCTATATCAATATGGCATTTTGAAGTCTCTATCTATTTAAAAAAGGAATTGAATCAAGAATGTCTATCTAAACAAGAAAATATAAAAGAATATAACAAAATTAAATATAAGACTTTCAATTGTAGTTTGAATATTTCTAAAATTTTAGGACTTGTTAAATGAAATAAGTGGTAAATTTCACAAAATTAAAGAATTTGTTCCATTTTTATAATATTAGTAAAAATTAGAAACTAGCACCATTTACATCATCTAAAGCTTCATTCATAAAAACTTAGAAATATGTTCTGTTTGGTTATAGAAAATATTTTTTAATTTTATTTTCTATTTTCATTTTTTGAAAATAATTTTCATTTTGTATTTTTTAAATTTTAAAAAACATGTTGCATACACAAAAATAAAAATTATAAAAATGTGTTTGATATTTACATTTTCAAAACAAAAAATAATATTAGACCCTACAAGTTACATAATGTATATCTAAGGCTACATTAGACTTTAAAAGACTGCGAAAAAGCATATCCATGCTTGTGCTCAAATAAATAAAATTCTTATAAGCTACAACTTTCATAACATGATCATAGATAACCTCACCCTATGCAAATTGATTATAGCAACCAATAGTTCATGTTTGATTTAAATTTATACCTTTGATTTGTAAACTACATTTGAGATGCTCTGTGAAAAGAAAATGAATGCTTTGTGAAAAAAAATGAACTAAACAAAAAAAAAATGAAGTTGCTTGTATGAGATTTTCTAAAATCCCAAAACCATCAACATGGACTCTGCATTTGTTTTTCGGGTGCTTAGCAACTCTTGCAAGTTTGATACCTTAATCGGTCAGCTTGCAGGGCCACAGAGGAAAATAAAATAATAATTATTGTCAATGCTAGTATGGGCACATGATCGAGGTAAAAGAAGAAGAGAGAAAAAGAAGATAAAAGCAAGGAAAGAGAATATGCTTGTTTTAGCTTTTACCCAAAATAACAATAATTTTGGGTCTATTATGAATCGAACTTGGGTGTGAAGGAATCATTGAGTGAATAGTAAAAAATATTTTAAAAGACCCATGTTTTCATTTTCTCTATTTATTCTCCATATTTTCTTCGAAAACACTAAAAACATCTTTTTTTATGTTCATTTTGGCCTATTTTCATTTTCATTTTTCAAAAAATATTTTTTATTTTTTCCAACCAAACATGTTTTCACCCACATTTTCTATTTCCTATAAAAATGAAAATGAAAAACAATTATATTTTCTTAAACTAAACGCTACCTAATTTTTTCATTTTGAATTGAAACTAAGACATATTTAGCTAAGTCATAATTATCTATATCATTTTAAGTTAACTTGGCTTACAGTACAATATTTGAAAATTTTTATGATTTGACTCTTAACCAATGTATAGTTGCCAAGTATGGTAGCATTCAAACTAATTAATTGTCATTGGCATTTGATTGTAAACTCTTGCAAATCAACATAATCTTATCAAGTAATCGTTCAAATTAAAACAAATTTGTTAAACCTCTGTTGACTAATACCTGGCTAAAGAAAAGAATTCTCTAGCAATATCACATTCAACATATATATAGCAAATATTAAAAATTAGCCTTTAAATTATAAATTATGAAAGAAAAAATTGTACTAAAATATATGGTTGATAAAATTGCTATTCTAAAAATCAAACCTAACAATTGCACAAACAAAAAATGAGTAATAAATTTACAAAAAAATAGTAAACAAGACTACAAAACAAATTTCTTATAAGTTAATTAAGACAAAATTGTAGTAAAACAAAGTTGAAAAATAGCCAAATTGGATTTCTTTATTTTTTTTTTGGAAGAATATTTGTATTTATGTTGCTATCAAGAGACATTATAGTAAATGTACTAAATGTAACAAGTAATAAAAGATATGAAATTAATATGATTTTTCTTTTAAAATTATAAATTATAAATTCTTGCCTAATTTGTATTGAAAAAATAATCTTCCTTAATTTAATGCTATAATTATTGTCAACCTTGGCTAATTTTTATTTCCTTTTTTACTACATTAAATTTCATTTAATTTTTCATGAGTAATTAGAAGATATGAAAAAATATTCACGATTAATTAGTTTTTATTTAATTTTTATTTTTATTTGTATTATTAACCAAATTAATTGTAATTTATTTATATTAAAGGGTAATAAATATAATTAATTTTGTTTAACTAATTATTTTTTAGGTAATGAAAACGTTATTATAAAAAATAATAAAAATATTTTAAACAAATAAAATTGCATTTATTAAAAAACATATGATAATTTTTTAAATTTATCTACATGTTAAAAATACAAGTAATCCACAATAAATTATTTTTTTATCAAAAACTTTAACATTTATTTGTTTATACAAGATTAAGTTGTCTCATTGAGTTAGATGTCACGTATCATTTTATTAACAAAAATACAAAATTTAGAGTATTTGTATCTTTTTATTTATAATACAAAATTTTTTCCTTCACATGTAATAAAAAAAACTACCGCAAATCTCTTATATATAAGAACTTATACGGAATTGAATTTCTTGCTGGAAAAACAGAGTGAGTCACTTTCACTCGACTTCCGTAGCGCGACAACGACAAGGACTCCTAACTGGGAGTGAAACCAAGAATAATTATAGTACACGAAAAGGTTTAAAAAATGCAGCACCGAAGCAATGGAAACGGTGTCGTTCCACAAATCGCCGCCCCCAGTCTGTCGATTAAAAAAATATATAAAAGGAAAATGGGAAAAGAAATGAAAAGAAAACACATTGAAATATTGAAATTCTAACCCCATCCCAAATTAGACCAAAACCGAGCCACCCCCCTTCTCTCTCTCTCTCTCTCTCTCTCTCTCTCCTTCATTTCTCTCTCTCCGAACGACCAAACCCTAACCGATCCCTCTTTATTTATCTCTAATTCTTTTCCCGGTACTTTAATTCGAGGTTTCTCTTCAGATCTGTTCCACCTCAGGTGAGTTCTTTTTTTCTTTTCTTTTCCTTTTGATTTTGATTTATTTTTTCTGATTTGATTTTTTCTGGTGACTTTGGGTGATTGATTGATGTAATTATTGTAATCATCTTCTTGTTATCTTCGGATCCGATGCTGTTTCTTTTTCTTTTTTTTTTTTTGTGTTATGAAATCAAATTTTTGTGTGTAATTAATGTTTTATTATTTATTAGAAATAATTAAAAGAAAAAAGAAAGAAAACCTGAAAGTGTAAATGTAACACAATATAAATAATTTTTTTTGCTTTTTTCTTCTTTGATTTTCTTTTTAAAAATTCAGAAAAAAAGGGTAAAAATACGTTCGAAGTTGATTTGAGATAGTAAGAGAGAGGGTTTGATTTTCCTTTGTTTTTTCTTCTTTTTGAATTTTTTCTTTTTAATTATTCGATGTTTTTAAAAATTTCTGGAAATATTATTATTGATTTATAAAATTTGTGGCTGTTAATGTATGCAAGAAAAGAAACAATGTCCGTGTTGGGTAATTTTTAGTGTGTGAGTCTGAGACAAATATTAGTTTCAGGATGTTAAGGGTGGAGCGATTGCCAGTTAGAAGAAGCTAGGGCATTATCTTTTCCAGAAGTTCTGCAATAATTTTAAATTATTGTTTAAGTGATCACAAGAGGATAAGCAACACATGTCTTGGGAAGGGTTTTGAACTCATGGCTGTTTTGGGACTGAATGAAGCTTCCATTTGAGGGCTGGATACTTGTGGAAGGCTACATTCAAGGGAGGAAGTCATTCTGGATTAGAGATATTAATTGTGCTTTTTGGAGCATTTTTATGTTTTGAGAGTTAATCCCAGAGTAATGATTTTGGCAATCTTGGTCTTAGGGTTTCTGTTGGTTGAATGGTTTAATAAATATTTTTTCATTTGAGATGGGCACTGTGATTGTCTTCTTATTTATTTCTTGAGCGTTGGACATTTGAATGGCTATAAGGTTTCTTCTATTTAATTCGAGTTTGTTAAAGTTTGATTAACATAGAAAGTGATTCACTATTTTTACGATCAGATTCTTTCTCACCAATCCTTTAATACAACTTAGTTGTAATAATTTGAATTCACTTTAGCCAATGATATATGGCATAGTTGTTGTTGATGACGATGTGTGCATTCTGCAGATTTAATTCATTTTGACGAAGTATTTTAGATGGATGATGATAGAGCAGATGGATAAAATGTCTGCTCCTTCATCCAAGGAGCGCGCACAGCATCTTTATGAGAAGGTATCTTTTTCCTTCTTTAGAAAATGAGGTCCCATTTGAGTTTCTGATAATGGATGTTAATATTTGGTACTCTCTGCAGAATATAGAGTTAGAAAGTAATCGTAGGAGATCAGCTCAGGCACGAGTACCTTCAGATCCCAATGCCTGGCAGCAGATGCGTGAGAACTATGAGGCAATAATTCTTGAGGACCATGCTTTTTCTGAGCAGCACAATATTGAATATTCTTTGTGGCAGTTACATTATAAGCGGATTGAGGAACTAAGGGCACATTATACCACTGCTATAGCTTCTGTAGGAGTGAACGCCTCTCAGGGTGTGAAAGTTCCTCAACGACCTGACCGGCTTACAAAAATAAGACTGCAGTTTAAGACTTTCCTTTCAGAGGCGACAGGATTTTATCATGATCTGATTTTGAAAATCAGAGCAAAGTATGGACTTCCATTTGGGTACTTTTCTGATGATTCAGAAAGCCAGATTGTTATGGACAAAGATGGGAAGAAATCTGCTGACATAAAAAAGGGTTTGGTGTCTTGTCACCGTTGTTTGATATACCTGGGAGACCTAGCACGGTACAAAGGATTATATGGAGATGGAGACTCTAAATCACGCGAATATGCAGCAGCTTCAAGTTACTACTTGCAAGCTGCATCAATTTGGCCATCAAGTGGGAACCCACATCATCAGGTTTTTCTTTATTTCTCATTTCCTTGTTAATAGATTATCCTTAACTTTTATACCCCAATAATCATTTCGCACCTGCCTTGAATTTCTCCTATTCAACAATATTCTGATTTTTTATGTGGGTAATTATCTCCTTATTTCAGCTAGCTATATTGGCTTCCTATTCAGGAGATGAGCTGGTGGCTGTTTATCAATATTTCCGGAGTTTGGCAGTTGATAATCCCTTTTCAACTGCAAGGGATAACTTGATCGTGGCATTTGAGAAGGTATAACTGCAAATTTTAGTCTTTATTTTGGCAGTTGGGTTCATTTACTTACGTATTTCAGCTAGCAATTTTTTCACTGCGTGGCCTTCGGTATGTATTAAAGGTGATGCATTAATGCTAATGCGTGCTTTTGTAGCTAACTAGGACATTAAGTGGCTTGCTTGGTTGAACATCTTGATGCGTTCATTACCTTCTTAAACAGTATTTATAGGTTTTTGAAAAATGTAGATAGTTGCAAACTTTAACTTTGTCTTGAGTATTTTTGCGTTGCTGTTTCTTACTATAACCAATGGCTGCTACTTTCCACTCTAATGGGAAGAAACTATCAATCCATTCTTTCTAGGTTTAGTGGTTAATTACTATGCTTATGAAGATCAGATATGGGGTATCGTGGATTGCACATACAAAATGTTGGCTATTATTTTAACATAAGAAATTGTGTTATTTCTTGTCTTATATATTTACACATAGATAAACATAGATTAGCAGAAGCTACAATATGACATGATGTCAAACAGTTATCCTATTATTTCCATTATGGAGTTTTGGGAGGATTTAACTGTGTTTCAAGGACATTTTACCTTTTTTCTTTGAGGATGCAGCAAGATTCTGACATGGCAATCCAACTTTGAGAATTCACTACTTTTAATTGTTAAGAGTGTGTAATAATTGTATATTAAATGTTACCAATTTGAAAACTGAGTTTGAGTGGGTTTCTTATTTATATGCTTGTATTGGAATATGTATATGACTATGGAAATTGTATTAAATGTAAGCATTTTTGTTTGCAGAATCGTCATAATTACTCACAGCTACCTGGGGATGTTAAATTGGTCAAGGAGCCTGCTGTGCGTTTATCGGGAAAAGGCAGAGGGAAAGTGGTAGCAAAACTTGCATCTAAAGATGCCAGCAAGGAACCAGGCCCTGCTAAGGAGAAAGTATCTGGTTTCCAGGATACTTTTAAGTCCTTTTGCATTCGATTTGTGCGTCTAAATGGTATTCTTTTTACACGCACAAGGTATACTTTCTCTGAAACTTATTCACTTTTGTTATTGACCAAGTTTATTGTGGGGTTGTGTTCTTATCAAAGCTTCCTTTATGCAGCCTGGAGACTTTTGCTGATGTTCTTACTCTGGTTAGCCGTGATTTATGTGAACTTCTCTCTTCTGGGCCAGAAGAGGAACTTAATTTTGGCACAGATGCTGCTGAGAATGCACTTCTCCTTGTTAGGCTGGTTTCCATTCTCGTGTTTACAGTTTACAATCTGAAGAGGGAGGGTGAAGGTCAAACATATGCTGAAATTGTACAGCGTGCTGCCCTACTTCAGAATGCATTCACTGCCATTTTTGAGTTGATGGGACATATAGTAGAGAGATGTTCACAGCTCCAGGATGTTTCTTCAAGCTATACCTTACCTGCTGTTCTAGTTTTTGTAGAATGGCTGGCTTGCTGCCCGGATGTTGCAGCAGCTGGCAGTGATGTGGATGAGAAACAGTCTATCACTAGATCACTTTTCTGGAAACGCTGCATATCATTTCTGAATAAGATCTTGTCAATTAGGCCAATGTGCATAGATGATGGTGAAGATGAGACCTGCTTTTTCAATATGAGTAGGTATGAAGAAGGAGAAACTGAAAACCGTCTTGCATTGTGGGAGGACTTTGAGTTGCGAGGGTTCTTGCCTCTTGTTCCAGCACATACCATTTTGGACTTCTCAAGGAAACGTTCCTTTGTTAGCGATGGCGATAAGGAAAGGAAAGCCCGTGTCAAGAGAATTTTAGCAGCTGGGAAAGCTCTAGCTAATGTCATTAGGGTTGATCAGGAAACTGTTTGTTTTGATTCGAAAGCCAAGAAATTTCGTATTGGTGTTGAGCCTTCCGAAGATGTGACATTCAGCTCTTCTACCCCACTGGAAACAAATGGTGTGGGGCATGAAACTCCCTCTGAGAAGACAATTAATATTGGAAATGTTCAGCCAACTCCACAGCCTATAATGTTTGGTGAAGAGGATGATGATGATGAAGTGATTGTTTTCCAGCCAGCTGTGAGTGAGAAGAGAACTGAGGTAATTGGTCCAAACTGGCGCCCCTCTGACACTTTGAAGCTTGATCAAAGTAGTTCTACAGGTGATCTCATATTTTATGGCAGTACCATGTCTGCTCCTTTTGATAGTCTTCGCCAGCATAATACATTTGATGCTAATCCTCCACTGCCTGTATCTGTTGGTAGCATTCTCCCACAGCATCTACAGCCTGTTCAGATGCACGCATCTAGGTGGTCAGCTGAAGAAGCTACTTCTCTGGCTAATAGCTTGAAAGGTTTGACAATGTTGGAGAATGGGCATTTAAGAAAATGTGAGATGCAAGATAATGGTGGTGTTTCTCATCCTGCTGCTCGTTCTGTTGCTATCCAACAACCCATCAGTCCTTTTGCAGGTGGTATGTATTACAGTCAGACAAAAGGGCCAGAAACTGTGATGCCATCCAGAATTGATGCTATGGTGTCATCTGGAGTTACTACTGATGCTTTGGCTGGTAAAACTACCTCAGCTTTGCAAGTCGGGATGCGGAAGAATCCAGTTTGCCGCCCAGTTAGGCATCTTGGTCCCCCACCAGGTTTTAGCCCTGTTCCTCCAAAGCCACTGAGTGGATCTGTTTCTGCTTCAGATTTGGAGAACCCGCTGATGGATGATTATAGATGGTTGGATGGATATCAGTTGACATCATCATTGAAAGGCTCTGGCCTTGATGGTTCTCTCAATTATGCATCTCATGCAGATCCCCAGTATGTCAATAACAGCAGCAATGTCTCGACTGGAATGGTAAGCTTTCCTTTCCCTGGAAAACAAGTTGCAGCAGTGCAGTTTCAAACGGAAAAGCAGAAAGGCTGGCAGGATTACAATACTCTTGAGCATCTGAAAATTCAACATCAACAGAAATTGCAGCAACAGCAACTCATGAATGGAAACCAGCAGTTCACCTCACTGCCTGAGCAGTATCAAGGACAGTCAGTCTGGACGGGTCGTTATTTTGTGTGAGATCAAAATAAAAGTGTAGCTGGTAAGTGATAACTTCTCTTTTTATCTGTCTGTAGGTTTTGTAGGTGATATAATTGTTACTAAAGTTCTTTCCAAGTAACCTGTTCATCTACATTTGTGTTTGTTCTTGAGGTTCTTTGAGAATGATTACCATGAATGTACTGCATCCATTTGCTGCCGAATTCAACTCCAACTTTGAAGCATTGTCAGTGTTGAGTTTTTGTTGGAGCATAGTTGGCCTTGGCTTCTGGCGGGCACTTGCTGCTAAACAAGTGAGTATGCACTCAATTATTTTACTTAGATCATTTCAAATTACTCTCTTTTTTCGTTGAATTCCAAAAACCCCAACACTAACACCCCTCCACGTCAAAGTTTGTTAGTCAAACCATTATCTCTTTAAGATGCCACAGCCACATAATGCTTAAATTCCAGGTGAATGGTTATCTTACAAAAATGCCCATCTTCTTCTGTAAACGATATTTCTTTTCCTTCTCTGGTTTTTTCCCTATAGCTTTCACTCTTAGTTATGGCGTCAAACTAGTGTTAAATATGGATATAATCATGATTGAAAGGAGAATTTAATTTAATTAAAAAACAATAAACCAAAAGCAGCATATGGAGTTTCAAGACACCAAAAGTATATGGAGCTTGAACCAGCTTTGACATTCAAATACAAAAGCCTCCAATATCAAGGTACTAAAATCAATTCCAAGCATATTAGAATTTAACAAGGTGACGTGAAGTCCTTGTCAATCACCCAACCATCATGCCACCGGATTGGAATTTAATTCAGTCATCATCTTCATCAATGGTTCATGAGAAATTAAATATATAACTAATAAATTAAAAAATAGTAATAAACGATTTAAGGGCATTTTGTTTTAAGTAATTTCAAAGGAAAAAAAAGGGAAAGAGTGGAGTAGAGAAATAATAATGGTGAGGGAATTGATAGACTATTAAGTGGAAGATCAGCTATAATGCAGTCCATTAATTTAAAAAGTTTCATGTGATGCACATTTTTAGGGATAGAAAGAGAATGATAGCTGAATACTGAAACAAAAGGGGAAAAATAGAGAAGAGAAGAGGGTGCTTGTCATACAAAGTTGGTGACTGTGAAGCAATGAAAAGTGAAAGTAAAGGAGAATGAAAACAAGCCATTTGTTGTAATATGGTACCGTTGATTTTTTTGGATGATGTGGCTGTGGGGTCTCAAATACTTAATGGTTTGACTCACAGACTTTGAAGTCAAGGGGTAAAGAGTTGTTTTGAAACAAGAGGTGGGTTAGTGGCTTTTTGAATTTATTGTCGGGGTATTTTGGAGTTCATCCCTCTTTTCTTGCTCTTTTGTGTGTTTGTTTCTATGCACTTAGTGATTTTCTCTTAGATCATTTTTTATACACACACAAACACTCTCTCTCTCCTCTCTCTCTTTATGTATCGGTGTATATGCACTTAGTGATTTTATCCTAGATCCTAATGAGTAATTCTTATTCTTATAAGCCATTCTATATTCTGTACCAAAAAAAATGCCTTTCTGTATGGAAGGTCTGATTATGTTGGTTTGAATTTGGTGCACATTTTGATGCCTGTTCTCTGCAGTGAAAAGTGGGAATCACATGCCTGCAGAATTAGTAATGTGGGGGGTTCTGGGTTGCAGGTGGTTTAGAGATGTTTTGTCATGAATGCATGTGTTTCTGTTTATCTCAACGTAAGTGGCTCTTAATGTTAATTTTGCAGATTTCGCCATATTTGTGGAGGAAGATTTGACCAAACTATCTTTAAGATGCGAAACTTGTAAGGAGTAAATGCCTTAACTGGTTACTTGGGCTGGAGATAGAACGTGTTAATAAGATCATCTGTTGGTTTTGGGGGCTATATCTTCAAGGAGTTGGTCGATTAAAAACTTGATTTACTATCCTATTAACTTTCGAATGGTCTGCCTAGATTGCTGTTAAAATTCAGCAGCCGGCAGTTGGTAATATTTGATGTGCTCGACCAGCTCTCTGCAGAAGCTTCAGAGCTCTGGTCAAGAGGTCTACTAGGTACGATCTGCATATTAGTGGTTGGACAGTGGGATTGGGATTATGGTGGTGCGTTTGAGTAGCAGAATGTGTGGGTGAGTATTGAGTGATGTGTACGTTTGATATCTGGGTCAAAGACTTATTTATGTTATTATGCTTAATATGTTACCGGCTATGATGAGTGATGTGGAACAGCAGAAACTAGAGGGGGTTGCTGAAGTTGGGGGTTCACTCAAACTTCTTCTGTAATCAAATAAATTAAATCTATGGAGAATTTTCTTTCTGGGTCATTGCAGACGCAGATTTTCTTTCTCTTGCTTGTGGTTAGTTTGCCGTGTAAGTTGGCAGGCAATACACAGTACTCATGAATCGTTATTTAATTCTTCGGTTCCTGTTTTTACTTGGGTCAGCGACTTATGAAGAAATGGCCAGTATCAGTAAGGCTTATGAAGAAATGGCCAGTATCAGTAGCATGTTCTATCATTTTTTTCTTCCGTTTCTATTTTACTCTTACTATCTAAAGGAACTTACCACATCCGACCTAACTATCTAAAGGAACTTACCTGATTAGCTACAGTAACTTTGGCAGGGTGGGGATTACGTCTTGATCCTCACAGACCTCGCTAGCTACAGGAATTTACCATGGTGGGATTTGATTACACATCAAACTTAGGCGGTCCTTCAATGCCTAAGCACCTTCATTCCGCTGGGTTAAATGCTCATTGGCTATTAAGTTTGTTTATAATATGGCAAGACGTTCCAAATATTATGTCTTGGAGGTGTGTGTTTATTTAGCCATACCTTGATCGACATTAATAATGTGTTTGATAAGAAAAGGGGTAAAAAAAAAGTAAAATATGTTCTGCGAATTGTTTGTGTTTAATTTACTTACCTGTAATAATAAAACAAATTAAGAAACCATCTAATAGAAGAACCGATTGGGACCAACTAGTTGATCGGGCTGGTCTCCCAATCAACAGATGAGAAACCCTTGAAGAACCGATTGAAGAACAATATAAAGACGGAAATAGAACGACTCTCCCATCAAATTCTTATTTCAATATTGTATATGTCATGGTAAATCTTTTATTTTAAACTATATTTCCTTCTTTGATAAAATACTAAATAGAATACAATGAGCAGTGATACGACTTACGAGGTATATTCAAAATTGTACTTTCCGGAAAAACACCTTTGCGAGCAAATTATGGGTGTCATGGGTCCACGTTTTTAACCTAAAAAATATATCTATTAAGTAGCGAAAAACTCATTTATTATAAGTTTAAAATCATTTTTTATTTTATTTTATTTGAAATTTGTGCACTTTTTGTCATTCCATTATGTAACATTCTCGTTACATTGATTCTTTCACTTATAAAGAATGACTCACTTTGATTCAGATTTATCTTAATTTTAATATTTTTTTATTAAATTCATATTAATAAAAAATTAGATGAATTTTAACACTATTTGACATAAGTTTACTTTTTCATAGAAAAAGGAAAGTGGAAATAACACAAATTTTTTTATATCTGTAAACACTCTAATTGGTTCAGGCCCAAGTTTATTGGGTTTGGTTTAACAGGATCTGGACCTAAATCCATCGGGCTTGACTTAATGAGATCCAAGCAGTTATGGCTAATTGTTTATTTTTTTATTTATTTATGGGCTTATTTTATTTTTATTTTATTTTTAGTTGATAATAAGATAATAGCTAAAAAAATCAAAAATACAAATTCTGTCGTGTATGGGTTATTGGTAGAATTGTAATTGGTTTTAATTTCTTTAGGTTCGAGGATAATACGAAAATCCAATTAAAAGTGGAACTTAGAGTTGATCAAAAACTCTTTTGATTAAGCCTATAAATACCTACTGATCAAAAGCCTGATAACACATAGAGAATACAAAAACAAAAACTTAGAAAAGCAAAAAGCAATAAAAAAATTTTTAAAGTTTTTTTAGGTTAAAAAAAAAGGATTTTTTTGAAAATTTTTCTAGAAATTTCAAATTCCAACGAAATTTTTCGACGCAGGTTGAATTTTTTGGTGACTTTTTGACACTAATTGAATTTTTCGGCAAGCATCCCAGAATTAGTTGAAGATTTCGACAAGCTTGAATTTTTCGGTGAATATTCGACAAATCTACCTAGATTTCGATGATTTTTTTTTCAAAATCCAGTGAAGATTCAACCAAAGTTCTTTAGTTTCTAGAGAGAGAGGGAGAGAAAATAAAGGGAAAGAGAGAGAAGGGGAGCAAAAATCTGAGGGAAAAAGGCTAGAACTTGGGCTTTTATACCATTGTAAAACAATATCGTTTTGGCCTTATAATATCCCAAGATTCGCGCATTTTGCTAGTGGGTGACCCGATCTGAACGTTAACCCACCTTTGTCGACCTGCTTTTCAACCGATTCCCTTAGCTAAGTCGAGCTGCACCGACTCTTCAAGCCGTGTCCTCGAGTCGCTGTCTGTGTCTGAAGCCGAGCTGTGCTTAAGCCAACTAACCGAACTGTTTGTATTTTTTTGTTATTTATTTATGTGTTTATTAAATTTTTAAAATTTTAAAAAAATAGAGAAAATAAAATATTTTTTGAGAATAAATAATAATTATCCAATGATGAAATTTATAAAAATTTTAAATGATAAATTTTTATAAAATTCTTAGGTAAAAAATTTTATCTGAATTTATCCCAAATGGTGGAGTAATTTAGATAAAGTTTCAGTAACAATAAAAAAACCAAAAAATTAAAAAAATTTTGGTTGAAAATATTTGACAATTATCCAAGGATGAGAATCTTAGAATTTCAAATGGTGAATTCTTAAGAAATCTCTAAGTGAGAAATTTCTTTAAATTTATCCCAAATGGTGAAAAAATTAAATGAAATTTTGATACAAAATAATTGTCATATTATTTTCTTTTTGAAAACAAAAAAAAAGAAGAAAAAAAAAATTCTAAATAGGCTCAAATGGTGAAAAATTTAGAAATTCAAAAAGAAAATATTTCTAATTTGGCCCAAATAGTGGAATAATTAAATATATTTTTGACAAACAAAAAAATCATAATAAATATTTTTTTCCGACGACGGAGCTTCTTCAAGAAATCAAATAGGATTTTTGAATACTATTGAGGTAAAAAAATATTTTTAAGAGTTCTATTAGATTGATGGAAGAATCTTAAAAGTTATTTTCAATATTTATAAAATTTAAGACTATTAGAATCAAGATCTTAGGATAAATTTAAAATAATATAGTACCATTCTTTGGATAGGTATGTGGGGGAGTTATAACATTTTTCACATGTAACCGAACTCTCAAATCTCGTTTTGGTTTGTAAACCTAAACCCATTCTTTTAGGGATCTTGAGTCAAGCTTAAGAGCTCCTTAAGAGGATAGATTCATTAGGTGATCAATCACACCTAATTAAAAAAATTGGTAATGACTCTTTAATTTGTTAAGTTTAGTTATAGATTTTCGGATCTATATGTTATGATAGTTTGACGACTCCACTAGGGATGCCATAGAGAGTCAAGCCATAACAATTTTAAATTTATCATATTCTTTGGTTTAATAGTTTTAAATTATAATTATTTGTGTTATCTGTTTACTAACGCTTTTGTGTCTTTTGTCCTTGTATTTTTGGGGCATGAAAACCTATATGTTCCTTCACACACATTATCATATACATTTGCATTACATAGGCTCTATACCCGGGCTCCGTGCCTCTTAGGAAGGAGTAAAGTACTTACACTCTCATGAGATGATAATCTCTGTAATGGCTAGCGAAATACTCCCACTCAAATTGAATCATTTTCGTTAGTAGCCTGTGATGGGTGAGGATTAGATTGCCTTACTAGTCTGTGATGAACAATGATGTAAGAAATAATTTGAGAACCTTTAGTGGTCAAAGTCACTTAACCATGCATATAGTTTACATTTAAGAGGCCAGCCTTAGGATAGAGCCATTCCTACCCATTAATAGATGTAACCCGAAGTTAAGACACAAAAAGGAACAGTTTGTGATCTAACATTTTGTTTGTTTGACTTTGTGCATTATCATGTCATGCATTTTTTCATACTCATATGTAACATTGCACATCTGCATCATTTTCATATTAGATTTCATCCATGAAAATACACATTTCATTCATACATCAACGTATCATGCATAAAGCATAGCATTTTTAATAACATAATTATGGTGCTCAAGGTTCAAGGATAGCTTCACCAAGCAAAAACCTCACTCACCAATACAATACAAGGGCTTGAGCTAGACAGATGGAACAAAAAAATTTCAACCATCTCAAGAGAATAGAGAAAGCTTAAGAGAAGCTTAAAGGAAAATTAAACAGGATTCTAGAGGCTTTGAATAAGTTAAACAAGGGGAAGAATGTAGAGGAAAATACTAGCCAGCATGATCATTCATCACAAATGGTGACTAATCCTCTGTATCCTCTTAGTTTCGGGCCTCATCAAGCCTAGTCCACTCAAAATGCACCATCCCAGTAGTTTATATACCCTGTAGGGTATACATACCCTAGAATGCCATCAGTTTCAAATCTGAGGTAGTATCAAAGTTATGTAAATCTTGTCTTTATTGAGAAGGCAATAGAACTAATACCAATCCCAACTTAGATGATCCAAAAGAGAAAGAGAAATTAAGGCCTAAGGAGAAAGAGATTTTAGAAACCTCAAAAGCTAAATAAAAAATGAACTTATTAAAAGAAAGGTTATGGGCCACAGAGGGCATTAGTTTTTATGGTTATGTAAATGCTGCTGGGCTCTATTTAGTCTCAGATGTGATTATTCCTCCAAAGTTCAAGATACCAGAGTTTGAAAAGTATGATGGTACGAAGTGCCTAAAGACCCACATTACTATGTACTATCAAAATATTGCTATTCATGCCCATAATAAAAAACTCTTGATGCACGTTTTTCAAGATAACCTTATGAGCTTTGCTGTTAAATGGTATGTTCAGCTGGATAAAATTCGCATTTGTTCTTGGAGTGATATGGTCCATGACTTTATTAATTAGTACCGACATATCATAGAGTTAGCTCCTGATTGCCTGTTTTTACAGAATATGAAAAAAAAGGTAAATGAATCATTTAAAGAATATACTTAAAGGTGGACAGACATAGCTACTCAGGTGCAGCCTCCTCTAACTGAGAAAGAGACCACAATATTATTTATCGACACTTTAAAATCTCTCTATTATGAAAAGATGATAAGAAATACGATAAAAAATTTCGTTGATATGGTAATCTTAGGCGAAATTATTAAAAAATGACAAGTTAAAAAGAAGAAAAACCAAGAGGGCGCCAAAAAAAAAAGAGACCAAAGTTCAAATTATGAGCTTTGATAGATAGTTTAGGGGTTATCAACCTTATCCATCATAAGATTATTCCTCATACTATCCTACTATGAACAATACCTTATCTTACCCATACCAGCCAAACCTATTGCCATCTTATCCATCCACATACCAGCTTATTTTTAGCCCTTAAACTCTTATGCACAGTCTTAATATTCAACCTTCTGTAAGATCCCAGATTTGTTTTACTAGCCCAGCAAGTGGTTCACGAGAGCAACGAACTACCTGAGAAAAACTCGTATTTAACCCAATCTCCATGACTTATACGGAGTTATATCGAGAGCTCTATAATAACCACTTGATTGCTTTCAACCGTTTGAAGCCACTTAAGCCACCCTATCCCAAGTGGTATAATCCTATAGCCTATTGTGACTATCACTATGGAATTCTCGATCATTCTATAGAGAATTACACTACCCTAAAGCATAAAGTGCAATGATTGATCAAGGATGAAATGATAAACTTTGATCAAGGAGGGGCAACA